GAGAGAGAGAGAGAGAGAGAGAGAGAAAGCACCTGACTTGTGGGTTTTTCAGAATGGATGCCCTACTCATCTATGGGAGCGGAGGCGAGGCGTGAGGGACCCAGGCAAGAGGCAAGAAGTAGGCTTGGTGTACGGGGGTGGGTGGATGAAGGGTAAAACCTTGGCCAGGGAAATGTATGAAAGGCTGATGGCCAGAGTAAGTGCTACAGAAACGGGCAACGTAACAGATGACCTTGGACAGAGCCAGAGACAGGGTCAGAGTAGCCAGCAAGGAAGTGTCCTTAAAGCCAGAGCCTTATCCTAATCCTTTTCTGTGACCTATCCCCATCCCTCTGTTCCTTGTTGCCATGGTAACAGGGAGGCTAACTCTGCAGCAGCGAGGGAGGCTGGGCCTGCAGACCAGGCTGTTGCCATGGTGATTAGGAAGGGGTGGGGGGAGGAGCCACATCTTTTGACTCAGGTGCATTGGCCTGCAGACACCCCCCTCCCCAGATTTCGTCCCCTTCCCCTGGAAGAAGAGCTTCATCCCTTCCCTTTCTCAACACCTGGGCTTAGGAAGTTTAGGCCTGGACCATGAAGGATGAGATTGGAGAGACAAAGATGGCTAGAGAGACGGGAGGCCGGGGGGCGGGGTGTCTAGATTCCAGGAGATTTAGGCTCTTCTCCTACTTTCCAGCTGGCTTGGGGGAGGAGGTCTGGGGGACCCCATATTCCAACCTAGACAGATTGAGGTCCCCCTTTCCTGCATTCCCTTCCTCAGACACGAGCCTGGCGAGCCTGATGACTGTGCATCGTGCTCTCAGCACAAGGCTCTGCAGAAGGCGGGGGAGGGAAGGCTCAGGAAGGTCACAGGGATGGAGAGGGACCGGAGAGCTTAGTAGGAGGAGAAACAGACAGACCCTGTCCAGAAAAAGGCAAATACGGACAGAAAGAAGACAGATGGGGAGCTCTGCAAAGGTAGAGAGACAGGGGGACAGCAACAGTACACAGTGAAGGTGACAGGCGACACTGCAGCTTCGAAAGCCAGGCAGAGGCAGGGGTGGCCAACTTCGGGAGACTGGGAGCAGAAATTCAGTGGGGGACGTAGTGGCTCAGACATGGGGAGACACCTCAGAGAAGATCAACCTCGTGGTGTGGAGACAGAGAGAAGGAAGAGTCCTGAAATATTGCAGTCGTGTTCTAGGTACCTCAACAGTTAAGAGACAGGAGGTGCTGGTGCTGTCTCTAAAGGGTGTACACACACACACACACACACACACAGAGCAAGTGTTTTGGACTCAGAAGTGCTCAACATTGGGGGTTCTGTGTATGCATGGGGGTCTCTTGGGATGTCAGCAGCCACCTGGGAACTTCAAAGGGCAAAGAGACCCTGGAAGGGAAAAGTGGGCCCGGCTATGAACCAAGCCAGCAGCCGGGTGCTGAATGGACAGCTCCCCATCTCCAGCCGCCGCCGCAGGAGGTGGGAGGCTGAGCCTCCGCTCCGCCACCTCTCAGACTTTGTCTGTCTGGCTTTCCCCAGGGTTCCAGTCCCCTCCCATCTCCCTATGGCTTTCCTCGGTCACCCCAATTCCTCCCACTTCCCCCCACCCTCCTCTTCAACTTCCCTTCTCCAGTCTGCTCTGCCCCTTCCCCTCCTCAGTCCTCTCTTCCGCGCTGTCCCCCTTCTTTCTTTCCCCTTTCTTGGTCTCGCCTCCATCCCTCCATCTCTTCCTTTCCTGCAGGGCCAGCCTCGTTTTGGCTCTGGCTGTGTGACCTTCACTCGTCCTTTCTCAGCTGCAGTTTCCACAGAAACTGGAGGTGGAGGAAGGGCGGGGACGGAAGCAGGCCCACCCTTCTCCTCCCAGCCTCCTCCTCTCTAAAAACCAGACCTGCAGCCTCCAGGCACCCCTACCCCTACCCCAAGGGATTCCTCCCTTCCTCTGGGAGTGGGGGGGGGAGGGAAGATACATGTCCAGCCGAAACACAAGGTTAGTCACAGGCAGGTGAAGATGGCCTCACGGACAAATACACAGACGACCACCAAGGTGGGAATCATTGTGGCCGGGGGCACACCCTCCCGCCCACCCAGCCAGCCATGGGGGGAGGGGGAGTCCCATTGCAGCGCGGTGAGCAGCCAGCTCCCTGGCCCGCCCCTCCCCCAGCCCCATCTGGCTCATCCCCGCATCTCCCCATCTGTCTCAGGGTCTCTGTCGCAATGAGAGGTCAGTGGAGAAGGAGGAGGCCAGCTGCGGGGACCTGAGCTGACCCGCGGGGGGCGGGGGGGTGGTGGGTGCGCAAGTGGATCGTGCTTCTCTCAAACCCGGGGAGAGGGCACCTCCCCCTCCCCTAGCCTCACCCCCAGGAAATGAGACCCAACTATCCCCAAGTTTGGCAAGGTTTTGTTCTTTTTTTTTTTTTTTTATTCCAACAGGGACTGAGATGTGGGGGGGGCGGGGAGAAGGGACGGGGGCCCAACTGACCCCCTCCCTGAGGGGGAGGGGTCTCATAGAAATTCCAAGGTTTCCCCTCACCCCCCCAAAAAAAAATAAAGAGAAAGAAGAATGGAGGGGCACCAGGGACACCCATCTGTCCTGAGGCCCTTCCCCTCTCCACCAGTGTGGAGGGCCGCGTCCACGTCAAGGGGGTGGGGGCGCCAGAGCAGTCCCAGGGTGTGTGTGGGGGTCCTCTCCGCGGACTGCTCTCGGCCTCCGGGATGACTCCCCCTCTTCCGTGGCCCCCCAGTCCCCCGTTGATCCCCAGCCCGGGAGTCCTCGGCTCCTGCGCTGCGCTCGGCCGCCGCCAGGGAGCGCACGTGAGTCCACCGCGGGGCGCACGCCGGCTCCCGCCGGGGCGTCGGGGGCGCGGGGGCCCCAAGTTCTGTCCAGCCATCCCCCCCCCGGTGGGGGGAGGAGTTTGGGGTGCGGCAGCCGGGGCCTGGGCCGGG